ATAATCATAGTTAAAATGTCCACACTACCCAAAACAATCTACAGATTTAATGCAATCTCAATCAGAATCCCAATGAAATTCTTCACGGAAATAGAACAAAGAATCCTACAATTCATATGGGGCAACCAAAGACCTCAAACTGCTAAAGCAATCCTGAGAAAAAAGAGCAAAGCTGGAGGCATCACAATCCCTGACTTCAAAATGTACTACAAAGCCATAGTGATCAAAACAGCATGGTACAAAAACAGGCACAAAGATCAATGGAATAGAACTGAAAGCCCAGAAATAAAACCACACATCTATGGACAGGTAATCTTCGACAAAGGTGCCAAGAACATACGATGGAGAAAAGACAGTCTCTTCAATAAATGGTGTTGGGAAATCTGGACAACTACTTGCAAAAGAATGAAAGTAGACCATTATCTCATGCCATATACAAAAATAAGCTCAAAATAGATCAAAGACTTGAAGGTAAGCCCTGAAACCATAAAACTCCTGGAAAATAAGACAGGTAGGACACTCTTTGACATTGAACTTAAAAGGATCTTTTCAAATACCATGTCTTCTCAGACAAGGGAAACAAAAGGAAAAATAAACAAGTGGGACTTCATCAGACTAAAGAGTTTCTGCAAGGCAAAAGAAACCAGGATCAAAACAAAAAGACAACCCACCAATTGGGAGAAAATATTTGTAAAGCATATATCTGACAAGGGGTTAATCTCCATAATATATAAGGAACTCACACAACTGAACAACAAAAAAACAAACAGCCCATTCAAAAATGGGCAGAGGTTGGGGGCTGGCCCTGTGGCCAAGTGGTTAAGTTCGCGTGGGTGTGGACATGGCATCGCTCATCAGTCCATGCTGTGGCGGCATCCCATATGCCACAACTAAGAATATACAAAGATGTACCGGGAGGCTTTGGGGAGAAAAAGGAAAAAATTAAATCTTAAAAAAAAAAAAAGAAAAAAGAAAAAAAGGGCACAGGATATGAACAGATGACATTCTTCCAAAGAAGATATACAGATGGCCATTAAGCACATGAAAAGATGTTCAACATCACTAATGGTCAAGGAAATGCAAATCAAAACTACACTAAGATACCACCTTACACATGTTAAAATGGCTATAATCACTAAGACTAAAAATAAATGTTGGAGAGGGTGTGGAGAGAAGGGAACCCTCATACACTGCTGGTGGGAATGCAACCTGGTGCAGCCACTATGGAAAACACTATGGAGATTCCTCAAAAAACGAAAAATAGAAATACCATATCACCCAGCTATCCCACTACTGGCTATCTACCCAAACAACTTGAAATCAACAGTCCAAAGTAACATATGTACCCCTATGTTCATTGCAGCACTATTCACAACAGCCAAGACATGGAACAATCCAAGTGCCCATCATTGATGACTGGATAAAGATGTGCTGTATATAAATATAATGGAATACTACTCAGCCATAAAAAAAAAAAAGACAAAATCATCCCATTTGCAACAACATGGCTGGACCCGGAGGGTATTATGTTAAGTGAAATAAGCTAGACTGAGAAGGACAAACACCAGATGTTTTCACTCATATGTGGAATATAAACAAACACATGGACAAAGAAAACAGTTCAGTGGTTACCAAGGGAAAGGTGGTGGGGGGTGGGCACAGGGGGTGAAGGGGAGCACTTATGTGGTGACAGACAAGAAATAATGTACTACTGAAATTTTACAACGAGGTAAACTATTATGAACTCAATTTAAAAAAAAAAATGAGAGCTAGAACAGAGGTTTGTGAAAGGTTAACATTCCACACTTCAGACAGCAAAGGAAGGGGCCCGCCTCTTTGATTGTCAATCTCCAGCCTGAAATTCTTGGATCCTGTCACCCTGATCACGTCACCAATGCTCAAAACTTGTGGGTCCCTCAGCATTTCTCAGGACAGGCAGAAGGAAACCCTGCCTGAGCCACCTCCTGCCTATCTCCGGAACAGTCCCTTTGGAGCAGCAGCTCAGGTTGCCTGACACATGAGGGCTCTCTCCCTTTCCTGCCCTCTGCCTAGCAGGCCTGTCCCTGCTTCCTCAACGGGCTGGCTCTGCCTGGCCTTCAGAATGTAGAGCCTCTTCTGCACCCCTTCGGTGGACGCTGCATCTGGGAACACACTGCTTTCTATTATCACCAGCAGTTCTAGGAGTAGAACTGGCACCCCTTTGCTAGGAGACCGTGAACAAGTCAGGTAAAGGCAAAAACAGAGTCTAGGTTTTTGCTCCATGCTACACCCCAGCCCCTGGCCCACAGCTGGTCAGCAGTAAATAACTGCTGGGTGAAGGAGTTGGCATGCCATCTTCTGGGCTCCCACACACCCCTTGTTTGTCTCCTGCCACACTAAGCCTCCTGAAAGAGAGCACCTGTGTCACTCCTTGCATTACCAGGCTGTGGCTGGGTGAAGGTAGCCCCTGACTGCTCTCAAAGCGGAACTCTCTGCTGGTGACCAACTAAGACCTCAGTCTGGCCTCAGGGGGCACTTACTCGCCAGGATGCGGGGGCTGAGGACCGGCCACCTGATTCTGCTTGGCTTTCTGTTCCATTTTGGCTTCAATTTCCCGTTTCTTCTGAGCAATGAGCTCTTCCTGATGAAGAATGTTCATGTTCATTTTTCCAGACTTGGGAGGAGCAACCCCAAACCACCGGTTAGCCTTTCCTGCAGAGGGAAAAGAAACACATCTGAAATCACTTTTGCTCCACAGACATGCCCTGCAGCAACTGACATTCAGATTGACATTCATACGTCTTTCCATTCATTTATTCAGCAAACATGTACTGAACTATGTATCAGGTGCTGTACTAGGTGCCAAACGAGACATGGGGCCTCTGCCCACATGGGACTCATCTCTGGCTGGGGAGACAATAGATTTGTTAACAAAAATGTAGCTGTAAAATTGTGGTAAGAGCTCTTTGCTGAAAACCAAAAGGGGCAAGAAAAAATAGTAGCAGAACACCAATACAGCTAGGGCAGCCGGAAAATAACTGTTAGAAGACGGCACTTTTAAGCTAAAACCAAAAAGACAAAGAACCAGCCTCATGAAAAGCCACATGGGGAACGATCCGGGCAGAGTAAGGAGCGGATGCAAAAATCCAAGGCTAGAAGAAGCCTGGTGCATCCAAGGACCAGCAAGGGTTCAGTGTGACCAGAGTAGACCATTCCAGGGATGGGCATATAGGGGGCAAGATAGGGAGTCTGTGTTCTACTTTAAGAGCTTCAGAAAGCGACAAGGAAGTATCAAGCTAACAAGACTCAATTGGTATTTTTATTTTTAAGATACTGGGTACTGATTTGAGAGAGTGCATAGGCAGCAAGGAGACCAGTGAGGAGGCTTGCTGGCTCCAAGCAAAAGACAATGGTGTCTTCAGAGGAGGGTGGTAGCTGTGGAGTTGGAGAAGACATCTTGAACGTTCCCAGTGGGAAGTGGACTAAAATCAAAATTCTGAAAGTTGATTTCCAAGGCCCTGCCAGAGATGGCTCCCCTCCCCACTTCCATTTCATCCTTGACTTTTTTTTTTTCCAGAAGATTAGCCCTTGAGCTAACTTCTGCCACCAATCCTCTTTTTGCTGAGGAAGACTGCCCTGAGCTAACATCTGTGCCCATCTTCCTCTACTTTATATGTGGGATGCCTGCCACAGATGGCTTGACAAGTGGTGCCACGTCCACACCCAGGATTCAAACCAGCGAACCCTGGGCCGCCAAAGCAGAACGTGCGGACTTAACCATTGTGCCACCCGGCCAGCCCCTTATTCTTGACATTTTTCAAAACGACAAGGCCATCCCAGCCCAAAGCCTTCGTACGTGCTGTACCCAACTCTGTGTGGAAAGCTCTGCCCTCCAGGCCTTCCCATACCTGGCATCTTCTTATCCCATATGTCTCCTGTTCAAAAAGGCCTTCCTTGACCACCCAGTATCAGCAGACTCTACCTCTACTCTCTCACATCATTAAACTCCTCTCTCTCTAAATATTTCTTTTTTGGTGCATTGTCTGACACCCTAGTAGAAAACAACCTTCAGGAAGGCAGGTCACTGTTTTGATTACCACTGCATCCCCAGCGCCCAGCACAGTGCCTGGCACACAGTGACTATTTGCTGAATGGGTGAATGCATCCCAGCCTAGGGGACTAGGGCTGGGAGAGAGGGAAGGGTAAGGCTTGTGGTAAAGCGAGGCCTCGAAAGACCCAGGACGGTGTGTACAGGAAGTCCGAGAGCATTTTGGAAAAGCAGCTTTTCCAGAAAGCGGGAGACTGGCCAGACAGCACCTGCTACGGAGAAAGGAGGGCGCGGGACAACCCAAGGTTGCCGCCGTTTCGGGGAGCGGAGCGCTCAGAGCAGCCCTCAAGGTGGTTATTTGGGAAAGCTGGCGCAGGGCAGACCCGGGCGACCTCAGCAAACCAGGCGGCGAGGTGGGGGGCTAGCAACTGGGTCTGGGGTCTCGGGAGTCGGGGGAGGTGCAAAAGCCACCACTTCGAACGTCCCAGAGGCTTAGATGAAGGGCCGGCGGTTACGGCAGGCTCGACAGGAAGGAGAAGCGGCGACGCGGAGCCCAGAGGTCCCAAGCCAGCACTTGAGGGGAGGCGGGGGCTGTTACCTGCAACATCCCGGTTGTCCATCTTGAGACTCATCCAATCCCACAATGCTCCGGCGCCACCGGGAGTGGGGGTGGGGCTGTTATACTGCGCATGGCGTGATGGGAGATGTAGTCCGCGTCGGCCAGCCACGCCCTACCACTACGTGGACATCGGGGGTCTTCACCCCGAGGAACGCAAACCTCAACCTATCAGCAATGTCTGATCTCAGTCCCGCAGACCAGAGGGCGTCACCTTTTCTCATACCTTTCCGGAGCACAGCCCCTCCAAATACAAACTACATGTTCCGGGATGCTCTGCGCGGCAGCTCTCGCGAGAGACGCGGGTAGCGCCCGGCCCCGCCCTGCTCGCTTGCTTCCGCCTCCTTGTGGCGGCGGCTTGTTGTTGTGGAGGCCAAAATGGCGGCGCAGGCGGCGGCGGCGGCTGCTCAGGCGGCGGCGGCCCAGGCAGCGCAGGCTGAGGCGGCCGAGTCGTGGTATCTGGCTCTTCTGGGCTTCGCCGAGCACTTCCGCACTTCCAGCCCGCCCAAGATCCGCCTGTGCGTGCACTGCCTGCAGGCCGTGTTCCCCTTCAAGCCGCCGCAGCGCATCGAGGCCCGAACGCATCTGCAGCTCGGCTCGGTACTCTACCACCACACTAAGAACAGTGAGCAGGCGCGCAGCCATCTGGAGAAGGCGGTGAGCGCGGGCCGGGCCGCGAGGAAGGAGGCAACGCGGGCTCCTCGCGGAGCCGCCGGGGTTGACGGGCCGCGACCCCAGCGGGCGGGGGCGCCCGGGCCGGTCCTCGGGGACTTGGGGCGCGATCTCCGCGGGGGCAGCGGGACCCAAAGCCGCCTGCCTCTCAGGGGACCTGAGTGCCTCGCCTCACATCTTATTTAACGTCTTTGGTGACAGGCAGGGCCCCAGGACCCCGCTCAGATGCTCCGAGAGTTGCCTCGTTTCAGGAGAAACAGGCCCAAATTCTTCAGGTTTTCAGGAGGATATCAACAGAAGGATGCCTGTTCGCGCCTATGGGGACTCCCCATTTCGGCCAGTGGGCCCTGCAGCTTCCACCTCCTCGGGGCTCTGGGCTCAGTTTCGGGAGCATCAGCCTGAACGCTCTCTCCTGAAGTGATTGGGCATAGGGGAGGCATCCCTTGGGAATCTGAAGCCTGGTCTCTCAGGAAACCTGGGAAGGCGTCTCCAACCTGGACCAGGAAGTGTGAAAAGGGTTTGGAGGGTCTTGTACCCCCGTCAGTGATGCAGGGAGTCATAGGTGGGAGGCAAAGGCCTAGAGTTGGTCATTTGAAGTCCTGTAAGGAGGTGGAACTGAGGGGGCTCTGGATTCCAGGACCAGTTGCTCAGTAGGAGTTGGGGAGGTGGGGAATCTCACAGCTTCTGCTTTCTCTGTATCCGCGGCGACTTCTGTTCCTCCCACCATCCACCAGTCCGTCCCATTCAGGAGGCAGGCCCCATCCCCCAGTCTTGAGTTGTGGGATGTCTTTTTGGCTGTGGAGTTTCTTCTCACAGCAACACTGTGCTCCTGTCAGACCACGCCAGTGTTTGCCATTTATCTAGCTTTATCCTGTTTAAAGGAGAGACTTCTTCAATAGAATCAACTGAGATTTTTAAAGTTTATTGATCTGAGATAAATCTGAACCCACAAGGCTAGTGATGGGTTGCCTTCCAGAGAATATCAGATCTTTGTTTTGTCAAGGAGACTTTAGTCCTTGCTTCATCAACTTGATTGTTTCAGGAGTGAGGCAGTATGGGTCCAGAGAGGTGAAGGGATTTGCCCAAAGCCACGCAAGTTATTAACAAAACTGGGCTCAAACCTAGGCTCAGGATCATCAGCTTCCATGCCAAGACAATAAGTCACTATTGTTTTTGTGAAGGTTTTTGTCTTTCACTCATTCAGTAGATATTTAATCAGCTCACACCAGGTGCCAAGCCAGATTCTAGGTGCTAGGGATCAGCGATGACTAAGACAGTCCCAACCCACGTAAGCTTGTTTTAGTGAGGGAGACAAGCAATGAATATATAGTAAAAGGTTAGGCTGTGATAGAAGAACCATGAAAAATATGGACCAGGGAGAACGGATGGAGTTGACAGAGAGCTATTTTTGGCAAAGGTAGCGAGGGAGTCTGTGGGAGTGACCTGTGAGTAGAGGCCTAAATGGGATGGAGGAGGGAGCCTGGAGAGCTGCTCACGGTGTCAGGTTGATCCCAAGGAGTGCCCAAGCTGTCTGTTACTGGTTGGTGTCAGGGTCTCTCCTGGGCCATGATAAGGCTGAGAGCAAATGAACTGCCAGGCTTCCTTGGGTGTGGGGGAGCTGGAGGCTGTGACTGTCCTGGCCTGGTGGCCCAGTGCCTTCAGTGAATGACTCTGTTCTGAAGCTCTCCCTTCTCTTGATTAACAACAAATCCTGCCACCTCCCTTCCCGAGAGGGCGAGGGTAGATGGGGGCGGAATTCAGCCAGTTGCTAGCAGTGGTTCACAGTTGCTGTGTCGTTATCACATTTTGCCCACTCAGCGCTGTAGAGTGGAAGCACCCATGCCTAAGATTGCTTCCCTGTAACTGCTTGGCTTTTGGAGCCATAATTTAACCCCTTATCCTTGCAAAGTGCCTTCCCTCGATTTTACAGAACCCTGAATCTTGTGGGGTCTTCCACAGAGCCACAAGGTCCCCTCCATGGCTCACACTGACATACCACCTGGAAATCCCTTTCTTTCTGTCCGTTGCATGCCCAGCTGGGAATTTGTCCAGATTTCGACTGAAATGTCGTTTTCTGTGCTGTTTTCCTTCTGCAGTTGTTTGTGATCTCCTGTTGGGTTGCAACACAAGCGTGCTTTCTTTAAGCTTCGTTCTTTATTAGTTGTGCGTTTTTCCCAAGTCAGCCAGCTATCAACTTTTATTCTTTCCTTTCCCAGGCTCACTTGATAAAGAAGCATAACATGTTCTCCTTTTAGAAGTGGTTTACTAATTTCTAGTCCTAAAGAGCAAATAAATGGCCACAGAAGTTCCAGCTTCTTTTCAGGGAGCCAACCCAGAGTAACAAAAAAAAATTTTTTGTAAAGAAAAATGGCAAGTTTTTTTTTTTCTTTTTTTTTTTTTACTATTTTTTCCTTGATCGTTCCCCCTGCTATTCTTTCCTGATCTCATTTTCTCTAACTTATAAGTGCTATAGGAAAAACTTTTAATTGGCCTCTGAACTCAGTACTGTATTCCGCTCCCCTGTTCTTTTCATCGTCTTTTGCTTTGTCTCGGGGAGACCCTAACCTCCTTGGTAATCACTTTATATATATATATATATACATATATATATATATATGGTTAGATTATTTATCCTCCTATTTGCTTATGTCGGTTTCTAACTACCTCCTCAGCTGCATTTGTAAGCTTTCTAGAAGGAATGTATAAAATCCTTACCCATCTGCTTAATCAGTTCTACCAACTTTGAAAGAATCATCTGTTAAGTGCTCCCATCAGAGGCATGGAGGGTGTTTCTCTCTGTCCTCAGCAGCTTTATTGAGGTCACAGCCGTTAGTCTCTCAGTGGTACCTGCCTCTGCAGGCCTTCGGAGTCCCTGCTGGCTGCCTCACTCCCTGGATCTCCTCAGCAGATCCTGTAGCTATCACAGTGCAGGACAGGACATTCTCCCTTAGAGCCTTCCTTCTTTGTTCGTGGTTTTGGCAGTGATATGGCTATGTCAGAATTCTTGGCTGCTCTGGGACTCCTTGAATAAATAGTTCATAATTATAAGGGGTGTTGCTTTACTCTGAAATCTTTTGGCGAGAGAACTCGTGAAGCTGTTTCTGCAGATTCTGTCAGATTGTGTTCTTTTTTATTTCATTTTCACCTTATTATCTTTCCTCTTGCTGTACACCTATTCCTGTGTGAATTTTCAGTCTTGTCTTATTTTCACACTGTCTTTGAAGTAGACTATTCCATTTCACTCATTTGCACATCCATTGCAGAATCAAGAGAGTCTGCATGTCTGTACTTAGATGTGTATCTCTTTACCTTTTATCTTTCTGACTTCTGATCACTTTCCTGTTGGGATGTTGAACTCCAAGGTACAGTCGTCCTCAAGTGGAGTATGTCGAGTGTGTCCCAGCATGTGCTTGAGAGGGACAGCGAGCTTGGGTCTCAGAATCATCCCCGCCCCCTGGCCAGGCTCTACCCACACTGATCCTTCCTGAAGCACTCCTCCCTCCTCTCTGAGGCTACCCTTGCTCATTTTCAAGCATCTTTTAAATATCATTTCTCCAGTAAGGGCTGATACCCCTAGACTCACTCTTCTGTTATTAATTCCTGTGACATGATTTGCTGACTGTTGGCATACTGCAGTGAGTGGCACTTGGGGGCCCCTCTGCACTCCTCCTTCTGAAGCATTGCCGCCTAGTGGGAGGGGCTCCGATTCTCACTCCTGCTCTGGCTCCAGCACCCGGGGACAGGAAGACCACGTCAGTTGGGGAGCATGTTCTGATTTCCTCTCCCCCAGATGCACTCTGGTTGCTGGGTTGCAGGGAGAGTGAGCCCACCCTCTCAGGCGGAACAGGCCACCTTCTCGCTTGACTGAACACCTGCAGCCTCTGGTGACAGCACAACGTGTATAAACTCCAAAGTGATACCAATAAGCAGGCACCAAGCATTTGACTGAGAATTAATCCTTTTTTTTTTCCTTTCAGTGGTTGATATCTCAGCAAGTATCCTTTTCTTGTTGCTTCTGTTCCCTTTAAAGAATGCTCCATTTGAAAGAAAGAACATGTTATAAACTTCAGTCCCCCCATGACACTCCCCACGGATTGAGGCTTTGCTCTACAGACCACCTGGAGAATCCCTGCTCGGCTGTGGCTGCCCCTTTGGCCCAGTGGCCTCTCCTTGGGTGCCGTGCTCCTCATTGTGCCCCAGCGTCCAACTCTGCACCTGCTGGCAGCAGGCTCAGGGGTTGCTGGAGAATACATGAACTTGGAGTCTCAGAGCAGGAGAGGATGCGCCTGTCCCAGCAGCCTCTGCTGTGTAAGAACCCCAGTAGTGGCCTTTTAAACTGGCCTTTTTGCAGCATCTGTATTTCCTTAACTGCATGTCACTAGATCCCCCAGTTTGAAGATGTCAAATTTGAAGCAGCAAGTCTTTTGTCTGAATTATACTGTCAAGAGGTAAGAACATATGAAGATTTTTGAAAGCAAAGTCCCTCTCCCTGCAGCGAAGGCACAGTGACAAATTGGTGCTGTCAGGAGTGGACTCCCTTCTGGCTTTTAACACTTCCCATTACTTTCCTACTTCCTGCACTGTGGCATGGGGTGTCTCTGGGTGATCACTTGCTATCGAGGGCTGGCAGAGTCTTCTAAAACTTTCTGAAGACTGTTGGAAAACAGCCTTATTCCTAGGCTGAAGGTGATTAATTCCTAAACAAGTCCCTGTAGTTTACCTTCTTAATCTGGTTCCTGATCTCAGATGTAGCTGAAAATCACCTTTCCCCACTTTGGGCAGCTATGTGTGAGGCTCCCTGGGCAGGAGGCAGTGTATGTTTCACACCCCTGACCCCTCTTTCTGGTTGCAGAACAGGAAAGGTGGCACTTGTCATCCAATTTGACTGTTCAGGATTTTGAACTAAAGCTGCTTGCAGTTTAGTTGAATGAGGTGTTATTTTAAGAGCAATGCAGAAACTTTCCAGACAGTGAGTCCAATAAAATATCTTTTTCTCTTTTAATAAAGTAAATTGGCAACCCACAAATCTTTGATGAGCCTGAACAGGAGTGGCCTTCTGGCACCACAGCTGCTGCGTAAGGAATCCAGCTTGCTTGCTGGCTTGTTTTTTCCTCCCCAGACTCAACTGTTTCCTTTCAGAATTCCGTCGATGCAGCAAAGCCGCTGCTGCGGAAAGCTATCCAGATCTCACAGCAGACCCCGTACTGGCACTGCCGCCTGCTCTTCCAGCTTGCTGTAAGTATTGTGGGCCTGACTGAGACTTGTGAGTGTCTAATGGGGCCATGACCTTGCGGCACACCTACCCTGAGTACAAATAAAGGCAGACTCCGGGACACACAGGCCCTCCTCAGGCTGCTGCACCAAGTACATGGAGATGTTTCTTTAAGCTGCTCACAAACCCCCTCCAGCCTCTGTCTTCAGCAGTCCCCCCAGCATGGGCCTCACTCTCAGCAGCCCCCAGGGTGATTGGTAGGAGTGCCCATCTCCCCAGTGGCTGACACAGGGCCTTGTCTTCATGTCCCTCTCCTTCCTGGTGCTCCCTTTGGCCTGTATTCATTTGAATTCAGGGAGCATTTCTTGCCAGCAGCCCACTGTGCTTTCTCAGAGCTGTGCTGAGATTCCAAGGGACTGCCTATTGGGCAAGAAATGCCCAAGTCAAGCCTTTTCTCTCAGGGCCCTCAGAGTGGGGGCTGCTGAGGCCTTGCCCTAGGTTCCACATGGTCTTTGCCAGTCTCCCTTCAGCTCCCTCAGATAGGTAGTGTTCCAGTCCCTGTGCTCCAATATGCTCAGGCTGGGGGGCTCTCTAGGCTGGGCCACCTTGGCTGCAGTGGCAGGGCCAGCAGGCCTAGGGCAATGGGTAGGCTCTACCATGAGGGGCCCTTCTTCCATCCTAGGCTCTGCCCATACCTCCCCCTCGCTAGCCGACCTCCAGCCTCTCCTTTCCTCAACCTAGCCTGCCTACCAGGCTGCCTCTCACCCACCTTCCATGACACAGCCACCTCACCTGCCTGTGCATGTAGTGTGTGAGCCCTGAGCTGGAAGTGCCCCCTGTCCTGTGGGGGACCCCCTCAGAGGATTCCCCTGCTGGGAAGAGCTCACCCAGCCAGAGCTCCTGAGGCCCTTCCCCTCCCCCCCCAATCCCACTGCTGCCCCATACGAGCACTGCCTCCTTTAATCCTCCCATGCACACTTGTGCTTGTTGGCAGGCCAGGATAGAAACAGGCCGGGCGGTGAGTCACCTGCCTCAGGTCACAGAGTTGGTGGGCTGTGTGTGCACACAGGAGCCCAAGTTCTTGACCAAGCCTTCGTAGCTGTTCCTTCCTTTCAGCCTGTTAAGTCTTCTATGTTTGAAACTCCTATAGACACCTGTCCCTGAGGGAGTCCCTTCCCATTTGGGGCCCCTCTGGCCACCCCTCCTGGTGCCCAGCCCCCAAAGGCAGCCCACAAAGCACACAGACACATGCTAGCAGCCCTGGGAGTCTGTGCCCATGAGTGTTACCTGCTGGCTCTATGTGCCATTGAGCTTAGATGATGTACACTGCAGGCAAAGTGGAGTTCTCTACCCAAAGCAATTAATGTTGATGAGATTCTTTGGTTAGTTTGGCTCAAAACTGACACTGAGTTGAACTTGCCAGCAAAGCGCTATGGTCAGGTGCTGTAATACAAGCAGTTTGAAAGTGAGGGTCATTGCTCTCTCTCCTTTTCAGCAACTGCACACACTTGAGAAGGACCTGGTGTCAGCCTGCGACCTCCTGGGCGTGGGGGCCGAGTATGCCCGGGTAGTAGGATCCGAGTACACGCGGTAGGCACCTTCTCCCCACACTCTTCCCCCTCTTACTTACAAAAAGCTTGGCCATCTTGATCCTGGACAACAAATAGAATTTCACACTTCAGCATGAAACCCTGGTCATCCTTGTGCACAATAAGAGACATGCAAATTAAAGCAGCACTGAGATCCCTCTTGCCCCATCAATTCATAAAGTCAGAAGTTAGAGAGTCTACTGTGAGGGCGAGGAGCAGCCAGCATTCTCAGCACCATTGGCCCTTGTACATTTCTAGTATCTCTTGAAATAGAAAGTACTTACGTGGTTTGCTGGGCCATTCTCCTTTGTGGCACAGATGCGAGAGCAGTGCTCACTGAGAATGTGGGCTTTGTGCTTGGCAGTGCCGTAGGCAACCCCAGTATCCCTGCTCAGGGGACGCCTAGGATCTTTTGGATGCACAGAGTAAGTGGACATTTGTGTAAAAGAAGGGGCGTAGATTCATATTATGCACAAAACTGCTTAGACCATACAGAGACTGGTGCCCTAGGGTTAGGGGTCAGGAGTCAAAGGCGCTGGCACTTCACCCTCTGTGCAGGCCTCCGGTCTGTCTCTTTTTTTCCCCCAAAAGCAGAATCTTCTACAGTAGACAGACTCCAGGCAGGGGTGCTCTTATTCTGTTGTGTGCATTGGGATTCTGGAAAGTTCTGTCACATGAGGGCTGAACTTGTCCCATGGAATTGTTGAGACAAAACAGTCCCCAACTCCGTTCTCTGAGCTGTAGATTTGCAAGCACCCTTGGGGGCCACGCAGCTCCCCGCAGGCTATCCTGGTCCCTGAGCCACCCTGCCCTGGGATTGAGGCTGTCACACAGTCTAGCCCTTCCTGTCCCTCTCATGCTGCAGCCGTCACTGGGTCCATGGTGACACTCACCCCTTGCAGGCACAGGAATGGCTGATCGCTGCACATTTTCATTCATTAGTGTCCCCAGACAGGCCTCCATGCCACCGTGGGTGGGTGGCCTGGATGGGCTCCACCAGGGCAGGGCATTTTCAGGTCACCTGGCCCAGAACCTCTGACAATGGACATAGGGCCTCCAAGTGAGTGCTTCTGTGTGGCAACATGGGAACCTTCATGTGAAGTTCTGGGCCTAAGATTTGAACAGTCAAACAATGGACAAGTAGATCCTAGAGTCTCCACGCCATGAGGTAACAATAGAGGATGGCACGGTGGCCTAGAGCATAGACTTATCTCGCCCGTGTGACGGTGACCTCGGTTTCCTCACTTGTAAAATGGGGAGAATGCACCCACTTGATGGCCACAGCACACGAGGACTTTGCCAAGACTGGTGGGACAAAGACTTAGGTGCTGAGCAAACTGGAGGCCTTTGGGCTCTGCACAAGCACAGCCCCAGAGCCGTTTGTCAAGGCAGTGACCACCTCCTCAGCTCCCTCACCTCTTATTTTGCCTATTATCTGAACTTCTTAATGTGCTTATTTTATTATTTTTCTTGCTGGTGACAGCAGTACGTGCTCATTTAGAAAGTGCAGAAAGATTTAAGAAAGACAATAGGAATCTCCTGGCCTTGCCGCCTGCTGAAGGTGGAGATAGCCAGTGCTGAGGCTTCCCTAGTTCAACCCCTTAGCCCTCAGGAGAGCCCGAGAGGGCTCAGGCAGTCCCAGGCGAGGAAGTGGAGTTGTGGAGAAGCCTCGGTGACGTGCAGATTTGGGTTCAGGTGCCCCAGCCTGCCCACTTGCCCCCACCCTCTGCTGTCCACCAACTAGAACCCACCATCTGCTGTGTCTAGTTGGTGGATACTTGCGCCCAGCCTGTGCTGTTCACCAACTAAAAGCCATGATCTGCTGTGTCAGTGAGAGTACAGTCATGGCAGACAGGCCGTCCTATACCCTGCCCCTTCATGCTTTCTGAGCACCCATTTATGCCTTCGTCTTTTGAACCACGTGACTTTCTAAATTAGGCAAAAAAAAAAAGTAAAGAAAGATAAATAGGACAAAGTAGAGCAGTCTTGTAAATAAAACAAACCTCCCTGGGGGCCTCTGAGGGCTGCTGTTATCTGCGTAACAGACTCCTGAGGTGGCACATTAGTTCCTTATGAACATTTGGGCCGCACGGTCATCCCAGGAGGCTCCTGGGCCTCACAGACTGACTTCTCTTCTCTGTTTTCCAGGGCACTGTTCCTCCTCAGCAAAGGGATGGTAAGTTGAGGCTGGGTGGAATGGGGCCAGTGTAGCGGACAGGAGGCCAGGCCCCCTCAGGGTGTGGAAAGACCACTCCCGCTTGCCATGGTGCGGCACCTCGGACACCCAGACCCTCACGCACGTCAGGCAGCCTATAGGACAAGGCTCTGGTGCCCTGACTGGGTTCCAAGGTGAAACTCAGATTCTAGGTTGTGAGATTTGTGCTGAAGAAGGAGCAGCCTGGGTTGGAACTGGGTGGACCTGGGTTCCAGCCCAGCTTTGTTCCCTTCTTGTGTGGTGCCAGAGATTCCTTGGCAGGTGGGCAGCCCTGTGCACTGGGAGGGACTCCTAGCACCTGCGCTTCTCCTTCCCTAGCTGCTGCTGATGGAGCGCAAGTTGCAGGAAGTCCACCCGCTGCTGACCCTCTGTGGACAGATAGTTGAGAACTGGCAGGGGAACCCCATCCAGAAGGAGTCTCTGCGCGTCTTCTTCCTGGTTCTCCAGGTAACCCACTACCTGGATGCTGGGCAGGTATGTAGCACCTCCCAGAGGACGGCTGCTGGGGAGTGGGCGGGCTGTGGGCAGCCCTTGGGCTGAGACGACAGCTGTGTAGTTGTCTCCTGACCCTCACCACAAAGTGGATCTGTCATCTGGGGCTCAGCTCCCTCTATACACCCCATGGTGTATGAGTACTATGCTGCTGCGTTCAGAGGGTGCTCCAAGAGTGGGTCTGTCCTGTTCCTGCCCTCATGGCGGGAATAGTGGCCTCACACATTCATAAGTGCATGAACAGTGGAAGACCTCTAAGAACAGTTGGGGAATTCGTGAGAATAAGCTGTGAGGATTCTGGTAGGGTGTCTGGCACATGTCAGGTGCTCAAGCATTATCTCTCCACCACCCCCGAGCTGATGACAGCTTTGTGGGGTGCAAGTAGGGACTGATGGGATTGGCCGTGTCTGAGACTCGACTCCATAACCCTTGTGTAATTGGGAGCGGCTGTACCTGTTTGAGGGTGAACATTTTGGCCTTTGAGTGGGGCTGCCCATCCACCTTACCCCACTCTGTCCCAGTGGCTGACCATAGGCAGGGTCTCTCTGGGGTGCTGGAAGGCCAGGTGGAGCCTGGTGGCAGAGAAGGCCCCAGAAAGCGCTGAGTGGGCCTCTCATTTGTAAGGGGCTTTCTCGGTTCCCCCACCCACACTCACCTTTCCCTATTGGACTGAGTGCCATGCTCAGCATGTAGGATCACAGTGCAGACTCTCATGGGGTGCTTATAGCACGGAGATGGCCTGTGGGGCTTAGGGATGGGGCTCCATGCTATGGAGAGGCCAGTCTATATGAACCATGGCACCTGCAGACCTCCCAGGCCTGGGAGGCAGCCTCCCACCCTGAGGTTGACTGCCAGCTTCCTGGTGCTGTCCTGCCCCCTCAGGGTCACTGCAGGAAAGAGGAAACGTGGCTCATGCAGGGTCAGGCCTCTCCTAGGCCTTCATGTCAGGCCCACTGGGCGGTGGCTGAGTCTGAGTCCCACAGATGACCCACCTGGCCCTTCCCTTCACCCTGATAGCCAGCTGATCCATTTGAGGGTGGGCTTCTTGCAGGTGGTGAGTGTGGTGGGAGCCCCCAGGAGGAAGGGGCCCAGGGGTCACTGGGCAGGCAGGGCCTATTGAGCCACCACCGTGGGGGCCTGGCACCAGATGGGAGTGGGTGGACGCTGAGGTATGTGGTGCCACCCACCCACTGCAGGTGAAAAGCGTGAAGCCATGCCTGAAGCAGCTGCAGCAGTGCATCCAGACCATCTCCACACTGCACGACGATGAGATCCTGCCCAGCAACCCTGCCGATCTCTTCCATTGGCTGCCCAAGGAGCACATGTGCGTGCTTGTCTACCTGGTGAGTAGACAAGGGGGGCCAAGGCGGGAGGCCAGGTGGCCAAGGAAAGGGCCCCAGTGACCGCCACCATCTGGTCTTATCGCCAGGTGACCGTGATGCACTCCATGCAGGCTGGCTACCTGGAGAAGGCACAGAAGTACACGGACAAAGCCCTGATGCAGCTAGAGAAGCTCAAGAGTAAGTCAGGCTCCAAGGGTTGCTTGCCTACAGCACCCACTGCTGGTGGCCTGACAACTGCCTCCTGTGCTGGGTTTGAAGGACCCTGAAATACCACAGCCCTGAGCAGTTGCCATTAGTCCCTGCTCGGTGGGTCTTGTTACTCCACTTGGCAGATGGGGCAACTTGGGGTCAGGGCAGACCAGGCCAGGCTTGAGCTTGACCCTTGATGCCTGGCTGGGGGTCTTCTGCCATCTCTATCCTGTCCCCCCCCGCCCCCCCAACTGCATAAGGTGGCTGTGACGGTTAGCAGGGCCCCTCTGGCTCAGCAGTGCTCAGCTGAAACGGGTGGTGGCTGCTTTTGCCATCTGTCATCAGTGTTGTAACGTGAATCGTGCTCAGGGTGAGGCTGGGATCAGAACTCAGCTCTCACTGACCAATAGTAGATCCCCTGGAGGCCTTGGGTCTTCCTGGGCGCTCAACTAATCTGTCCTGTGGTACCAGAGACCTTTGACTAGCAGGAACCCAGAGCTACATATATCCTTGGCTGGCTCAGTGTCCCTGTTAACCTGCTTGTTCACTGCCTGTGCCCCCTTCAGCACTGCTGGGGGAAGAGCTGTCAGAGCCAGAAAACCGAAGCCTGCGGGCACTGTGATTCTTTCCCTGTGGCCAAGTTGGGAAAGGGCTGTGCTGTCTGATTCCAATGGGAGAACAGCCACTTGGAGGCCCACATTGCTGACTGAGGCCTGTCACATGGTCTCACTCTCTTGGGCAACTTCACCATTTCTAGAACCTGGCGTGATTGGGTGTTCTTGAGTACTTGCTGGGTCGAGGTGGGGCAAGAATGGAAGACAGATCCCTCCAGGGATTTCTTAGAACACTCTGGTCACCAAAACCTGGCTGTGAGCCCATCTCCCCACCTGGACAGGGAGATGAACCCCCTCGATTGAGAGTGCATTGGGCACCAAGCAAGGTGATCGATCAGCTGCTGGGCCAGCGCCCAGCAGAGCAGTTGAGCTCGGACCCAGGTAGCTGAGGGGCCAGTGTGGTAGGAGATGGGAGATGAGGCCAGGGCTCAGCGTCTCCTGTGCCATCTCCTCCAGCTGCGCCCCATGTGCTCACCCCTGCCTGTCGCCCCCAGTGCTCGACTGCAGCCCCATCCTGTCCTCCTTCCAAGTGATCCTACTTGAGCACATCATCATGTGCAGGCTTGTCACAGGACACAAGGCCACCGCCCTGCAGGAGGTAAGGCCAAGGAGCGGGGTTGGAGTTTGCTGCGTCTCAGAGGCGGTCACGTGGGTAGATGTAAGTTTGCCCAGTGCATGTTGGCAGGACATTTGTCCATGTCATTTCACTGTAACTGGCAGTTCATGACCCTGCACAGGAACGACTGATCAGAGAATCTGATACAAACATCAGTAGGTTTTTTCCTAAAAGTTCTTTTGCCCAAGGAACATGAGGTCTGGGGATTTGGGGTCCCATGACAGCAATCCTAGCACTCTTCCTGTCCCACGATCTGTAACCCCTGGTGCCCACTTTCCTGAGACGGCACGGGGGCATTAAGTTGGGTGAAGGTGCTATTTGGCTGAGACACATGTTAGAAAGGGAGTAGAAGGCAGGTAACAGACAAAGGTCACCAACCACAAGGAGGTCAGGGCTGCACTTTGCCCTCATGGGCATGTCTGCTGGGACTTCGTGCCCATTGTTGGTGTGGGTGGAACATGGGCACACTCGCCAGCTTTGGGGTCTCTCCCCAATGCTGTTGGAACACCGGGTCCCAGGTTACGGGCCATGTGACGTCAGACATGCTCTCTCCCCGCAGATCTCCCAGGTCTGCCAGCTGTGCCAACAGTCGCCCCGGCTCTTCTCCAACCATGCAGCGCAGCTACACACACTGCTGGTGAGTGTACAGGGGCCGCCTGCCTCTGGCCCCAGGCCACTTAGTAACCCCATGACCACCACCCCAGGCAGGATCCAGAATGTTCCCAGTGGGCTTCATTCTGACAAGGATCTATCTCATCAAGTCTAAGTTGACCTAGCTCCCGGGAGGCAGGAATAATTAAGCATGCCATCTTTCTCCCTTATAGTCAGGATAAAGCTCAGATGTAGCTGGCTCAATAGAGTCACTTGTCAGGTTCGTCTGGGTGCAGCCATGTGGCCCAGGGTGAGTTGCATATGACTCCAGGCCCTCAGTACCTTCTTCTTCCAGGGCCTGTACTGTGTCTCAGTCAACTGCATGGACAACGCAGAAGCCCAGTTCACCACAGCCCTGCGGGTAAGGTGACGGCCCTCACTCCCCTGGGTGGGTGGTGCTTCTCAGTAAGGAGTCAGGTGTGATGAAGACGACAGCTGCACAAAACCATGGTCAGCAGGCGACTCCATAGTGTTTAGCCTGATGCTGGTTGTGACAATGACGTGCCATTTATCCAGGGCTCTCTGTGGCAGGTCTTTTGCTGCTTGGGTGGGGACAAGGCCAATGCTGGCAGCACAGTGTGACAAGGGATAGTTGTGGCAAGGTGCTCCTGGCCAGCCTCAGGTGGGGCTTCCCCGTCTAACCCAGACGGCAGCCACAAGGCAGAACACAGGGTGTCCAGGCCAAGGGGATGGCACCACATGTTAGCCACTTTCACTCATGATTCCCAGCCCTCTCAACAGCCTGCCAGGCTGGCATTGGCTCGTGTCACGTCCACTGCTGCCTGCCACACTGGTGCCAGGACACGCCCCACACCTGCCCCACATTACCTATAGCCCCATGAAGGTCTCTCGGTTCCTCCGTCCCTATCTCACTTTACACAAGTGGCTGCCGCTGCTTTAGTTCAATGTCACAATCCGTGATGGATGATGTGTGCTCCAGGGAGTCTTTACCCACCAGGCCAGGAGGAAAGTGGTGCAGCTGGGACACGGATCCAAACCCCCCTGACCCCAAACATGTCCTCTTCCTGTGGTCCCAATGACAGACATCTTAGCATCTTTACTCAGGTCAGAAGACCCTCAGGCTGGCCCCATGGCTGAGTGGTTAAGTTCGCACGCTGCGCTTCGGCGGCCCAGGGTTTCGCCAGTTCGGATCCTGGGCACAGATATGGCGCTGCTCATCAGGCATGCTGAGGCAGCGTCCCACATGCCACAACTAGAAGGACCCGCAACTAAAGTATACAACTACATACTGGGGGGATTTGGGGAGAAAAAGCAGGAAAAAAAAGACGATTGGCAACAGTTGTTAACTCAGGTGCCAATCTTTAAGAAAAAAAATAATGATTCTCTGGACCTCTTTGACACTTGCTGGGGTCATGCGGGCAGGGTCTCTGTTCTCCAGGCATCCTCGGCCTCTTGCACAATTGCGCTTGCTCAGCCTGCGAGGAATCAGGGTCTAGGTAGTGGCTTGGGCCACTCATATCATTCCTACTCTTGGCTATTCTTGTTCCCCCAAAAGAGCTGGGACAGTGGTCCATCCACCACTGGCTGTTGGCAGCATCTTGTCTCCAACAGCTTCATCCACCTGGGCAGGGTGTCCCCCATGACCAGTGCATTCCTCTGCTGTGTCAACACGCACTGAAGTTCCCGGTCACTGACTGATGTGGAGGGAGGGGCTGCTCCGGTCTGAGTCCTGAGAGACAGCAGAAAATAGGCCAAACTGCGGAGTGTTCTGAGAGCAGGATCAGGGCAGGTGGTTTTCCTTTTCTTTCTTTCCTGAATTTCCTATAAGGTGGATGATGGTTTTGTAATGAAAAGAACTGATAGTGCTGTTGTCCTTGGTGTAGGAGGCGAGGGGGATGTGTCTGAAGTGAAAAGAATAAGGAGAATCCAAAGTAGCCACTGTGGAGCATTTGGGTGGCTCTGATGCCACCAGGTGCCCCCAATGTGATGAGTCTGTACTCTGCCCAGCCCCCTAATGCCCTGTGTCTCCTGTTCCAGCTCACCAATCACCAGGAGCTATGGGCCTTCATTGTGACCAACCTGGCGAGTGTGTATATACGGGAAGGAAATAGACACCAAGAGGTAGTAGGTGACATGCTTCATATTTGGTATCCTTTCTTTCAACTCTTATTCAGGGGTGGGTGGAGGGTGTTGCCCTGGGCACCAGCAAATCTCAGCGGCTCCAGGGTATCCGCTGTCCAATGGAGCGGAGTCCCACACTGTCCGAGCGCAGGTGTGGCTGGGGGAAGGCCAAGTTTGGGATAGAAACCTTCCCGTAGCCAAATAGCACTTCTCTCTGCTAAAAACAAGCCAAGCTTTTTTGAATCCCACAGAAGAAAAACAATTTTCTCTACCCTGAGCTGTCTGTTCTAGAATATCAGCAAAGCCTCATGGTTCAGTTCTGAGGAGCAGCAGCTCAGGCAGTCATCTGCACTAGGCCCCTAGGTTGTTCTGATGCCCCAGCTTCCTGGGGGCCGTGGGGGGGCGGGGGGGGGTCCAGGGCGCGCCCTTGCAGGACAAGCATGCTCACACCAGGTTCCCCTTGTATCCTCCCCCTCAGCCCTGGGATTCCCCCCGAGCCCTGGGATCCTGCCTCAGGAACATCTCAGATTTGACCAGTTCTCTCCACCCTGCCAGCATTCATTTTAGTTCAGGCCACCGTCACTTCTTTTCTACAAAAAGCTTAGTTAACCTCCTAGATTCTGGATTAGTTAGAATGCTTTGGGCTACAGGGAGCAGAAAGCCCAGCCCAGCTGCTCCGGCTATCAGGAAGTGCAGTGGGCAAGGTCATCTGAGGGCCAGCTGTGGCTTTGGTGGGTCACAGAGGAGCTCAGCTTCCCTGTGTCTCCTCACCCCCGTGTCTGTTTCCTGGAGGGGCTGTGGGGGCACTGGGAACAGCCTCAGCCTGCTTCAGCTCTCATCCTGCAACCCACCCTCCACACACATCCAGAGGGGACATAAAGTGTCAGTCATGCTGCAGGTCCTGCCCCTTATCCCAGCAGGTTGCTCACAGTCGTGGGATTCAGGGTATGGGCCCTCACCGTCAGATCGGATCAGGAAGTTGCAGGCAGCCCTAGTTAATTTTGTAGCATATTCCTCTCACGTTTAGAAATGCAAAATGATCCTAACTGATGTTTCCTCCACAGCTGTACAGTTTGTTGGAAAGGATCAATCCAGACCACAGCTTCCCTGTCAGGTAGGTGGCCCCAGAAGAGTCTTATGCTTTCTCTGCTCTTTGGGGTGGTGTGAGCACCCATGGGCCCCAGACTTCACTGTGTACCCTGACACCTCACCCTCTACACTCCCCTTTTATAAATCTGCTGCTTTCACAAAAACCCCCCCAAGCTGTGATGTTCTGCTTTTCCCTCAGCTCTCACTGCCTCCGAGCGGCAGCTTTCTATGTGCGTGGGCTCTTCTCCTTCTTCCAGGGACGCTACAACGAGGCCAAGTGAGTACTGGGTGAAGGTGAGCTGCCCCATGCCTGAGGCCTCCCAGGCTGGCCCTCTGGGTGGTTCTCTTCCCCCAACAGCATGTGTCCAGGTCCTCTGTCACCCCACCAGGCGGGCTCTGCTTGGGGCTGTGAGGGCACTGCTGCCTCTTTCTCCCCAAAGGAATCCCGACAGGGCTTCAGTGTCTATTCCCCTCGCATAGGCGATTCCTGCGAGAAACTCTGAAGATGTCCAATGCAGAGGACCTGAACCGGCTCACCGCCTGCTCCCTCGTCCTCCTGGGCCACATCTTCTATGTGTTGGGGAACCACAGGGTGAGTATCTGGGGCCAGGCCAAGGAGCAGGGGAGCAACATGGTGCTTGGGGGAGCATCACTGAGTACCACTTTGCATCCTGGGCCGCTTGATGATCTTGTCTCAGTTACCCCTCTCCCCCCCACTGCTCCAAGAGGCTCAGTGAGGGCAGGGGCACCTTTGGGGGTGTCAGGGGAGCTTTGGGTCCTTAGAGGGTGGGTCTGTGGCGCAGACGGTCCCAATGCCAGCCGCTGACAATGGTCAGGCAAAGCCCTAGTGCTTGGTGGGGCTGAGGGCAGGTTCCTCTTCCTGTGTGTTAACACATGGGAGTGGAGAGATGTGTCCTCTCAGCCAGAATCTCTTGGGTCCATTTCTTTCCAGCACACACAGTGCCCTCAGGGCACCCCATGTTTTCACCCACACCCAGAGCACCCTCAGGCTTGTCCCCAGTGGGATCAGCTGACTCTGAGTCTCCCCATCCAGGGTATGCATTGTCCCCTACTCCTGCCCATCCATCTCACAAGGCCTTTAATTTTTTTTTTTCTTTTTAAGATTTTATTTTTTCCTTTTTCTCCCCAAAGCCCCCCGGTACATAGTTGTATATTCTTCATTGTGGGTTCTTCTAGTTGTGGTATGTGGGACGCTGCCTCAGCGTGGTTTGATGAGCAGTGCCATGTCCACGCCCAGGATTTAAACCAACGAAACACTGGGCCACCTGCAGCGGAGCGCGCGAACTTAACCGCTCGGCCACGGGGCCAGCCCCCACAAGGCCTTTTAATTTTTTTAAGGAAATGTTTGTCTGTGTTATAAAATATGGTGTGTTCGTCATGGAAAGTCTGAGAAGCAAAGGAGAAAATCATCACAAGTCCTCTGTCTTCTGGCTCTTTCCACCACTCGCCCCTGCCCACACATAGGTTTTGTTTGTCAGGCTGTTTTATAATTTTATCTCGTCTTTCTCTGCACCTCTGTGTCGGAGCTGTTTTTAATGGCAGTGAGAATTCTGAAGCAGCATCTGCTCTGTAGTTTAGCCAACCTCACTTGAGCTGTTTTCACAAGATGGATAACACAGGGCACATGTCTTGGCCCATAAAGTTTCATCTGATCAAACCCCAGGGCTCCCTAAGAATGAACATTACTAAGGAGCCTGGCACATCCCTCTCCCCATGGCCGTATGACAAGACATGTGTTTGCCAAGGCCAGCAGGCCCTACAGCTCAGGTCCTGGTGGCCGTGGCCTGAGTGCTGGGGATGTCACCACCCCCAGAGGAGGACAACTTCAGGTTCCCCTTTCTGAGTGTAGTTCTGTTCCTTCTAGAACACTGTCACCCACTCCTCAACCTCTGAGCGTGATGTGTGTGTCTAGGGGCTGGATGGGGACCAAGGGCTCAGCTTGAGGACCCTCTGAGTGCGGGCTGCCCACCTCGGGTCTCAGTGTGGTGGCTGTTTTCTATTTGGAGAGATTAAGGTCACACAGCCCCAAACGGCAGGCTTAGGCGTAGAATCAGACCTTGCTGGCTCTCGTTTGTCTAAACGTCTCCAGAAGCCAACTTGAATGGGGGCTGAGTGGGCAAAGCAGTTCTTCAGCTGCAGCTCTGGTTCATGTTTTGGGTGATCTCAGGGCATCTTACAGAGCTTATTTGTGGAGCTCTGCTGCTCGCTGTGTGTATGGGGCCCATGTAGGGCCCCCAAGAGCCCTCAGACCCAGGCCTAGCCTCAAGTAGTTCTGGGTCTGTGGGGGAGACAGCTGACCCTACCCTGGGCCTACCAGGCTGGAGTGTCCACAGGCACTTTGTGAGTGGCCTCCGGCAGGATGCTTCTCAGGATCACACGGATCTTCAAAATCTAATTCTGTAGGGGCGGCCCCAGGTGGGCATGAGGAAGCCTGCCTAGGAGCCAAGGGGGACTCTCCCTCCTAGCAGCTTCCAGACAGAGGCCCAGCCCCAGGCCTAGAGGAGGGGAGTAGTTTTTCCTGTTCTGCTTTGCATTCTGAGGTCTTGGAAGGGCTTGGTTCAATTTTGGAAAGCTTTGAGACCCACTTGGAGCTCATCTTCAAGGTGCCAGCCACGGGCGGTGTGAAGTCACTGGGCTTTTGTGTCTCTGAGGAGGCACACCCTGCGCAACCGTGGCTGTGTTAAAGCTGGGCCTCAGGAGTCGGTTTTGAGGATTTGTAAGTCTCTTGGCTGAATGACAGGTGTCCCCTGGGCTGCCAGGGGCCACTGTGTAGGGAGTTCTCCCAGTGCCACCCTGAACCCAACATTCAGGCCAGTGGGGCTTGTGATCCCTGGGCTGAGCAGGGTTGGAATAGTGCTGTGGGTCACTGTGGTCAGGGATAGGTGTTTATGGCTCCAACAGCTCTTAATCAGCTCATTCTGGGCATTGGGGGTGGGGGCGGGGTGGCGATGCTGTGCAGTCACAGGGAGTCAGAATTGGAGGGTTGTCACATCCTGGTGCCTCACGACCCTGCGTGTCTGAAGCAGCCTCCCACAAGAGTGGGCTCGTATGTAGAAGAGAAACCTCTCTTTCTCCCTCTTTTGTTCATTCAGCCCTCATCGCTCCCACCAGGGCAGACTGCTGCCTCCTCCCAGGCTCTGGGACCCCTGAATCTTCATTTCTAATGGGTTCCTGACCTAGGTCCAGAGCTGACTGCTGCCAGTGGCTTTTTCTCTGGTTAGAAAGACAAAAGCACATAGAGTTGCCCCTGGCTGTACCCCAGTGAGAAGGCACATGCATAGCTAAGGAGTAGGGACAGTTTATTTTTCCCCAAGGTGGTTGAGGAGTACTTCAGAGAAGGCCTTGAGCTGGGCTCTGAAGTAGGAGTAGGAGTTTGCCAAGCAGCAGGAGGAGGGCACAGCCTGGGCTTGGTATGGCAGGTGGGGCCAGGGCTGGCCCTGCCACCAGCCCCAGCCACACACCTGACTCCTTGGCTGTTCTTGGTCAACAGGAGAGTAACAACATGGTGGTGCCCGCCATGCAGCTGGCCAGCAAGATCCCAGACATGTCAGTGCAGCTATGGTCATCAGCCCTGCTGAGAGGTGAGTGCAGCAGCCGGCCCTTCCCAGAGATTAGGGCTACTGGGTAGAGCCCAAGGCTAGAAGATGCTTGGTAAGCCCTGCTCAGCCTCTGCTCACACTGGGCCTCTATAGCCCATAGCCACAGTTGTAGCACATTCTCAGGCTTGTCAGGAGGCCCTCTTTGAGGGCAGTGGGCACTGGGCTCATTCATGGCATCAACTCGACGCGGGATCTGGTTCAGTTTCTCTGGGACCCAGAAGACTGGTTCTTGGCATCTGGGTAAAGACTTGGGCTGTGAGTCTTGTTGCTCAGCCTTGGTTTCATTCCCGCTGAATGGTGGGTGACAGCATTTGTCCCTGTCAGGCAGGACCGGCTGGGATGCTCTGGGTGCTGGGCAGGTGCTCAGCAGATGTCAGTGTTGTTGCTGCTGCTCCTGGATTTGCAGATTGTGAAACTGAGGTCCAGAGATTCACCCAGGGCTCTGGGAAGGAGGAAGGGGGTGGGGCTGCTCCCATCTGCACTGGGCTTTGGGGCCTGTCCAGTCCTGCCTCAGAAGTAGGTGTTGGGTACTCTGCTTCCAGCGAGCTCCTACGTGCCCAGGGGTTGACCAGGAACTCCCTGGGAAGGCCAGCATCCACAGGGAGCCCCACGAGCTTCCACTCACTGTCCAGGCCTTGTATCTGCCCCTGTGGGCCTCACTGCTCACCCACCTCCAAAGACATCTGATTCAGACACTCATGAGGGCATGTGTGAGGGCTCCTGGCAGCTCGGCTTTGCTGACCCCAGACAGGCCTCAGGGCAGGTGACATGCCAGGTGCACAGGCCCAATGGTGGAGCTGGGGGCGTGAGCTTAGGCCTCTGCCCGCATCTGAGAGAAGGATGTAGGGGCAGTGGCAGGGCAAACTGGGCCCACCCTGTATATGTGTCCCACCTTCAGACCTGAACAAGGCCTGCGGGAATGCCATGGATGCCCATGAAGCTGCCCAGATGCACCAGAACTTCTCACAGCAGCTACTCCAGGACCACATTGAGGCCTGCAGCCTCCCTGAGCACAACCTCATCACGGTACAGGCATGGGGTGGGAAGACAAAACGGGGGTGCTGGTTGGCTCCTCAGGGCTGGCTCACCTGGTCTGCAGCCCCCCAGGGGCACACTCCCTAAGGAGAAAAGTATACACTTCGCTGCCATGCCCCTGCATTTCTCCAATAAACCCTAACGGCCTGGCCTCAGGAGCCCCCTCACGTGGGGGAGACAGTGCCAATCACCCAAGCAGGTGATGCAGGGTGCTTCCCAGGGGCCCATCTGACTTGGGTCTGGAGGAAGAGGGCCCTGGCTGAGGAGGGCAGCGTTCCAGGTACAGACGGCCTAGCACACCTCTACTCCCCAGGAAGGACTTCACCTGTGTGTCCTCTCCCCCCACAGTGGACAGATGGCCCGCCCCCTGTGCAGTTCCAAGCTCAGAATGGACCCAACACCAGCCTGGCCAGCCTCCTGTGAGGCCCCTGGAAGGGACTGCCCAGCTTCTCAGGGCCTCCTTGGGGCCTGATGTGTCCCCAACTTCCACCCAGACAGCTCTTGAGCTTTCCTTGGATGCGTGCTGGTGTGGATATTCCCAGCTTCCTTCCTGACTGTCTCCAGAGCTTCCAAGTCCCTGGGGAGTGTGCGGGGCTGATTTCCTGCCCTCCCAGGAAGGGCCGACCAGCTGTTCCTGCTGTGCACCAGGCCCCTGGTGTTGAGCTTCACAGGTGGGATGTTGGAGCCGATTTTTCAGAGTCATCCTTTAAAGTGGTCTTGAACTGTCAGTCCTGCTTCCATGTCTGAGTCACACCTTGGAGGGAGCATGTCTGGGTGGGAAGTGGGCTGCTGGCCACCAGCCAGGTCCTGATCCTGCGTGCTGGAGTGGGCACTATTGCCAACGTGTCACCACCTGACTTCCATTACGTGGGCCTCCATGTTGGGCTGGAGTGTTTACTCTGTTCACAGCATCTTCCGGAAACCAGAGACAAGACGCCAGTTTCTGGCCCAAAATTGGAGGGAAGAAGTGATGGCACACTTCAGGGACAAAAATGCACAACCCGCCACGACACTTTTCCTAGCTTGCCTTTCTCTCCAGCATCTGCTCTTCTGACAGTGGGGGCTCTGGTCAGGACCTTGGAGGATCTAGGAACTCCGCTTCCAAACACCTGCACCTTGACTGGATTCACCATCTGGCCATGTGAGTGGCCATGCTTTTAGACACAGGTGTGCGTGTATGTGCACGCATGTGTGGTGATTCACAGAGTTGGAGCCAGGAGCAGAGACTCTTGTGTTTGCACCAGCCGCCTTCCCTGGTCAGCATTGATACAACAGGAAGCAGAGGAAAGGGGAAAGGACTCTCATCAGCCCAACTCAGGGTGTTGGAATGAAGGACTTGCTTCCTGGCAGCCCTGTGGCCTCCTCAGCAGAGGATGTTTGCGGATGATGCTCAGCAGGCCTGCAGGCAGCAGCTCCCCTCGCCCCCTGCCCTACCCACAGGAGCAGAGAGGAGGAGACAGAGGAGACCTACCTGCCTTGGGTCTTAGGATAGTTTTGAAACGTATTCCTGAGCTGGACCCCAGGAGGCTCTGCCAGGCCCAGACAGCCATGCTCAGTTCTGTACTCCTCTTGGCTTGTTGGGGAGATGCCCCAGTGGTGATGGTGGCATTGGGGGCAGTCTAGGTAGCCAGCCCTTCCAGCTTCTGGCACCTGAGAGTGCCTGGGGTGATGAGTGGTCTTACAAGTAAGAGTGGCTTGTTGGTTTGCATCTCATTACCCTTGGCACTGTGAAGGCTGCTTCTGAACATTGGGATCGTTCAGGTCAGCTGCTCAGGCCCTGAGGCCTGGGTGTGCCTTAGCCAAAAGCAGGGCTGTCAGCAGACCTCCCTGTGCTAGGCCACTGCCCTCTCCAGGCTAGTGTCAGTGCTTTGCTGCCCACTTCGGGGTCAGTGACAGGTGTGCAGGTGAACCGTTGGTCAGAGGGATGGGCCAGCCAGGGTTTGTCTTAAGAGGACCCACCATCTCTGTGTTATCCTAGGTCACCCAAGGAAGGCTGGCCCTGTCTCATGCTGCTCTGGGCTGCCCCCTCGGCTAATACCCCCTGGGCCCATGAGGCCTGTAGAGGAGGGTGTGACGCCTGGCCATAAGCTGTCCCTGTCCTGTCTTCCTCCCCCATCGAGGGTGCCCCCCAGGCCTTCCCCTCTACATGTGGGACAGAGTCCCCATCTCGCCTCAAGCTGCACCTGCCGGCCTGGACCCTACACTGTCCGACCTCTCCAGACCCACATTACTTCCATCACGCTGTACATCATGTTTGTCTCTGCCTATTTATTTAAATCTTTCTTTGCTTCTAGGGCATTTTGTATGTAGAGCAGTTGAAATAAGAACCTCAAAACTTAATGTCTGTCCTGAAGTTAAAGTGCTTTTAGTGATCACCCTGTTGTCTCTGTGTATATAAAGTTAAGGGTAAGTTCTTAAGTTTACAGTGAAAAATTTCAGTACTCGATATTTAATATTCTACTCTAGCTTTATGGAAGCCAAACTGTGTACATGAGTGCGTGCCTGTGTGAGCTTTGACCCTCCCCTTCACCATAGCATCTTCCAATTACATAAAGTTTTCGATAAGTACCTTCCTGTGAGTCTAAATTTAGTGCCTCACAATTTCTCACGCAATCATAACAATTCAAGACAGGCAGCAAGCAAGCGCCCAGGGAGATGTTACACACAGTGTCATATAGCTAAGTATTCAGGAAAAACAGATAAATAAAACCTCCACACTCTTACGTATACAGGGCATGAGGGAGTAGCAGAAAGATTCCTGCTGGCAGGTAAATTACTGAAAGCTGGTCAGACCCTCGTATGTTCCTCCTGCTGCCTCCTGTCAGTGGTGGCTCTCAGGGCCTGCAGGACTCAGGGGCTGGTCCAGGAGGTGCTGGGTTCCCTTGCAGCCAGACAGCTGTCTCCTCCTGACTGGGTCCCTTCAGTGACCCGTGGGTGAGGCGAGGATCCTCTCCCTGGGGCAAGGGCTCCCTGTCCCACTCATTAGGAACACAGGCAAGGAAACCGGAGAAGGGCTGCCTGGCATGGTGGGTAAATTTGTTGGTTGCATTCTCTCTCTGTTTCATTAAGGGGTTTTAATAAGTATGTTTGGCATAATGTGTTTCAGTGGGTATAAGCAGCCTGTAACTTCAGCTGGTGCTTTTAATCAGGAAAAATAAATTTGTAAATACAAAGCATTGTTTAAAAGACATAACCATAGAACCTAGCTTCCCATTTGTGGATTTCTTTTCCTATATATTCAAAGTAAAATAACTTGCAGGAGCCATCACTGGCTGTGTCTTTGTCATGCCATCTGACCCTCTTGTGTGCTGCTCTAGAGACAAGCTCTCTCCCTTGCTGTCCGGCCAAAGGGGCCACAGGGACTAACCTACAGGGTGTGAAAGCGCAGAGCCCTGGACCCTGGACCCAAGGACCCGGTGGAAACCTGAGTATTCTTCCCTTCTATTGATGTTCCTCCAGTCCATCCCTGCCTGGAGAGGAGGGAACCCCAAGAATTGCGGCCCTCACCACAGACTTGCTCACACACCTGGTGTCCTGTTCCGTGTGCTCTTAGAAAACACATGGGCTGGCTTCCATGTGCCTGGGCGTTTTTTTTTTTTTTTTTTTTTTTCTTTTTTGAGGTGAAAGTCCCATAACATAAAATTAACCATTTAATGTGTACAATGCAGTGTCATCAAATATATTCACAATGTTGTACATTATCTCTGTATGTTGTAGAACATTTCATCACCCCAAAGGGAAATATCCCATACCCCTTAGCAGTCACTCCCCATTCCCCTGCCCCCAGCTCCTGACAACCACTAATCTGCTTTCTGTCTCTGGATCCAGTTCCCAATAAGTGGACATTTCATATAAATGGAATCATATGCTATGTGACCTTTTGCATGTGGCTTCTTTGACTCAGCATGATGTTTTTAAGGTTCACCCACATTATGACGTGTGTTGAGCTTCATTCCTTTTTGTGGCTAAATAATATTCCATCATATGGATCAAGCACATTTAGGGTTTTTTTTTAAGATTTTATTTTTCCTTTTTCTCCCCAAAGCCCCCTGGTACATAGTTGTATATTTTTAGTTGTGAGTCCTTCTAGTTGTGGCATGTAGGACGCCACCTCAGCATGGCTTGATGAGTGGTGCCATGTCTGCGCCCAGGATCCGAACCGGGGAAACTCTGGGCTGCTAAAGCGGAGCGTGCAAACTTAACCACTTGGCCACGGGGCTGGCCCCCACATTTAGTTTATTCAATTGGTGGACATTTGGATTGCTTCCCCCTTTTGGCTATTTTGAGTAGTGTTGCTGTGGACGTGCCCATGCACATTTTTGTTTGAACACGTGTTTTCAATTCTCTTGGGCTGTGCAGTATTTTTAACACGCGTGGATGGTCGTCAGGCTGCTGCCCACACTGCATCAAGGCCCTCATGTTGCTCTCATCACTGTGCCCTGAGGTGACACCAAGGTGGCCCCAATTCCAAGAACACATCTGAGGACTCCTTAGGCTGTGGTCCTGGGGCAGTACTACTGGCCACTGGATGTGTGAGTGATTCTACACAGCCCTGCCTAGAAGGACCCCCAGCATGGTGACCCTGCTACCCCCACATCAATGCCTTCCTCCCTCTGCCCCATCCCAACCAACTCAGCGTCAGGCAGCTTTATCCTTCGAGATGGACTCTGCCTGTCCCTGTCCTCAGCTTGGACGTTATTTCTTCCACTTCGAGCCTCACAGCCCCTGTGCAGGAACTGCATCCTGAGCTCATTCAATCAGAACATGGCCACAAGCCGACCATGTGACAGGCTGCCCACCAGCAGGCACGTGGCCCCCAGCTGGTAGGAATGAATCGTGTGCAACCAGCAAGCCAGTTCTCAGATGGGCACGTTTCACAGAAAGTGGCCCTGGACACCTGGAGCTGGGCTCCCTGCAGCCTCCCTGGGACCTTGGACCTTACCTGCACGTGGAAGTGAGCAGCTTTCTCCCACAGGCAGTATCCACATCTGTCTTGCCCCCGTTGTCTAGTGCAACTTCCACCACCTGTCACCTGAGGGAACATTCTAGTAGAAACCCTGTCAGTGGCCACCTCATGTCCCCAAACAGGTCTCACAGACAACATCGCAGAGCATGTCACCAGCCAGGTCTGTTACAGGAGTGCAACCAAGACAGTCTGGGACCCAGCGCTTGAGATGCAGAAAAAGGCTGCTGGGAGGAGATGCATGTGGGGAAGATGTGTGTGAGGGAGACATAGGCAGGAGCCACCCAGGCTGACAGGCAGGGAAGGTCCTGAGGAAGGAAATGCAAAGGGGACAGTGAGAAGGAGCTGGACAGGAAAGGGCCCACATATGCCAAGAGACCTGCATGTTGTGGCCAAGGTGGGCAGAGCAGTCTGGGCTCAGGTGGGTGCCGCAGAACACTGCTTTTAGCACCTGATCACAGAGGTGGGACCTCTTCCAATAAGCCAGCAGTTGCCAGAGATTCCGACAGAACACTGGATGTTGATGAATGAAGATCGGGTGCTGTGGTTGTAGTGTTTGGGGAACCTCTCTGGTAAAGCTAAACAGATTCCTTCTGGCAGGACTCAATACAAACGGACACCATGCGGAGAAGCTCTCAGGGTCTGCAGGACACACTTGGGAAATGGACAACAGGAACTCGGCCAGGAGGCAGCCACAGGGCTGGGGGGAAAACAGGAGAGGGCCTCACAGAGACCGGCAGGTGGCCAGGGCAGAGGTCATTAGTCATCCTTGAAACACACACACACCCTGGTCCTCAGAAATCCTCCCTGTCACTCTCTTTGCCATCTCCACCGCCCCTCCTGGAGCTCCAGTCAGGTTTCTCACCTGAATGGTATCCAGCCTCCTCCCTGAATGGTCCCAGAACATTCTGCATTTATTCCCCACCTGTCCCTCTGCCAGGGGCACTCTCCCAGTGGCTGCTCAGCATCACCCAGGGACGTGCTGGCCCTGGCCTGGCACATGGTGCAAAGGGCCAAGGGGAAGAGCACACGGCCCAACTCCAGGCGGGTCCTGCAGACGCTGCTGTGAACACCTGCCTTTGCAGACTCAGCACACCCAGTCACTGTGACCCGCCCCCTCCCCCCCAGAAATGCCAACAGGACCCTGCCTAGACCTCACATGTCCCATTTGATGGTCTCTGGGGGACCTGGGAATTAAAAATATTTCCATGTCTATGGGCCGGCCCGGTGGCACAGCAGTTAAGTTCGTACGTTCTGCTTCTCGGCAGCCCGGGGTTCGCCGGTTTGGATCCTGGGTGTGGACATGGCACCACTTGGCAAAAGCCATGCTGTGGTAGGCGTCCCACGTATAAAGTAGAGAAAATGGGCATGGTTGTTAGCTCAGGGCCAGTCTTCCTCAGCAAAAAGAGGAGGACTGACAGTAGTTGGCTCAGGGCTAATCTTCCTCAAAAAAAGTTGTTTTCCTTGTCTATTGGCTTCACGCCTTGGGCTCATGGAGCAGTTTGGGTTTACATTTTCACCACAAAGAAAGCTATTCCAGGAGAGGTGGACAGACCAGACCACAGACATATGGTCCGGTCTGTCCAGCACCTGGCATTGCTTCCTCCACTTGAACCGTGCTGGCCTCTTCCCCCAGTACAATCCCGGTCAGCTCAGAGCTGCCCACTGGGCCCCAGAGGCAAGGTGCTGCTGGGGTCAACGGAAGATGGGGACATCTACCCCACCAGGGATGAGGGATGGAGGCCAGCAGGCAAGGAAACTTGACCTGAGGGCCACAGAGGCCACTTACCCCCTTGGAGAGGCTGTTGCTGGTCCCCAGGGGCCAGGGAGGGGGAGGGGGAGAATTGCAGACAAGTGTAAAAGCTCAAAGCTCATTTCACCCCAAATTGATGCTCATTTGATGAGATTACAATGCAGCTGGTTGGCAAAGGAAAGGAAAAGATTCATTTCTATGTGAATTTTATTTCCTTAGTACTTTGATATTTCTGATACTTTTTTCAAGGATCAGAAAATCAAGGGACTATTACAGCGATGCTTTATGAAAAATACCATACTCCTGACTCGTTATGGCTGCTGCAACAAATGTCATTTTAAATCAGCATTCTCACACTGGATAAGGAGTTTGTGGGAGACAGAGCAGCACCCATTTGCCCCATCCCTGTCATGCATGCTGAAAAGCTCTGAAGCGCAGCTCTCTATAGAGATGGGCCACTTTGTAGGCGTGTGTCTGTTTTGTTTTGAGTGTCGTTCTAACCACGATTCTGAACACTTAGTGTTGATGCATCGTGGAGTTCAGGCTCCATCTGCAGTTAGTCTCTGTGTGGCCCTGATGATGTCCCACTATTACAGAGTTCTGAGCACAAATACTTTCCTAAAGGGTTAAATACTAACTGCTCAGAAGTATCCTCGTGAACCGGAAGTGTATCTCCTACTCTGTTTTCATCTGCATGTGTCACCAGTTGCTGCCGAAGTGGCCTGGCCTGCTCTATCCTTGGCCACCAGGGGGCGAGGGCAGCCTGAGCAGTGTCCTGGCAAGATAGGGCCCATGGGACCTCCAGCCCAGCTGGGAAGGCTGGACTAGACGTCGCCAGACCCCAGTATGGCCAGGCTCTGCGCTCATCTGCAAGGATGTGGGATGACCTTCACCTCAGGGCCTCTGAGTTCCCTTCCTGTAACATGCGAGGCCAGACTCTCCTATCCCCAGCGTTCTCCGGGTGTCAGGGCTACACCGTTACCCTCATTTATTTGCCAAACATGTATGTGGCACCTACTGGGTGCTGAGGACACAGCAAGAACCATGTCAGACAAAGTCCCCGCCCTCAGGGAGTGGACATTCTACTAGGGGCCCGATAATGGGCCTCAAAAAGAATGAGCGCTGTCCTACCTGTGAGAGGGGAGCAGCACTCTGTAGGATGGGGACGGGCCGTGTGACAGGACAGAGAGGAGACCTCCCTTAGCCCAGACAACTCTTGCTACATGGCCACTGAGACAGTGGGGAGGGGGTAAGCCAGCCCTTCTCTCTGGCCACTCCAGAGAGGATGCTGGATGGGCATGTGGGCCCTGACAGTGGCATTCCGGAGGGTGGAGACTGCCACATGTGCCCACCGCCACCTTGAGCACAGCTGACACCTGGGTCATGTCCAGGAGGACACTGATGGATGGGGAAAGTGGCTGAGCCCCCTCATCCGGGGCAGGGTTCAAATCTCAGGATCCTCTCAGGTCCTTCTCCTCCACCATACTCAGGCCCACTTCCCAGAACTGAACTCGAGGGTAGGGGAGGTGTAGACAGGGCTGAATGTGCAGCA